GTGTGTGTGTGTGTGTGTGTGTGTGTGTGTGCAAACACAAACATCAGCCTCCCATTGTTTTGGGGACAGTGTAGGTCAGCAGCTCTGTCACATCAAAGATTTGACTGTCTGTAAAAAACCTCAAAACACACAACTGTACATGCACACACAGGAACACAAACACAACTCCCATCTGTGCAGCTCAAGGGCCTCCTCACACCGAACCATCCGGTGTGATGACAGGCGTCGTGTCTCTGGGCCCCTGRGGGTTCCGGAAGACAAAAGAGAACATCCAGAAAAAGGCCGGGCGATTGTCCACAGTGAGGGCAAAAGGGAGCACAACTCCCTCCTCAAACACACACTTGATGCAACACACACACAAGCTCAGTGGGTTCGAACACATCGTTATACACAAGGAGGCCGGAAGAAGGGGTGCTGATGGTGCTGAAGCTACTCCTGGTGGATGCCAAACAACATTCATGAATAAATATATACAACAKTTGTGCTGCAGGGGTTTAATTTATACATTGTTAGAGGTTTTTTTTGTCTCTTTAGGTATTTTTTAGGTTCAAAGGTTGATTTAAATACAATCATGACAGAACCAAAACTTATTTTTTGGGTCCTGATGATTGGTATGGACAATAATTAGGATTTTGAGTTATTTTGGTCCGAATTTAAGATTTAAATTAGGAAAGTTAATGCCTCAGTTTGTGTRAACATTTAAAATTTTAAAAATGTCCAAACAAGTTTACAAAGATAGACAAGATGGGATTAAAAATGAAACCCAGATGTCTAAAGAGTATTTGCAAAGACAAGKTTTAAATATTAGATGAGATCTGATCACTGTAAATATTTCCAGCCAACTCCCCAAGTGGCTGCAGCCACCAAAATCCCCKCAACAGACCCAAAGAAAAATAATCTAAAAAAGTTTTTTACATTTATTTTAGTATTATGATGCTGTACTTAATGTTGAATCATTTCCAATCCTCTTGAGTCTTTTTAAACTTGTTCAACAGTGTTAGGAAGAAAAAGAAAACAATATACTGTATATATCAACCTGTCTTGTTTAGGATGGTTTAGGC